CCGACATAATGACGTGTTTTACACTTTCAACCGCCAACCATAGCGATAATTTCACATTAGCCCCCGAAGTTAAAGTTTTGCTCTGGTTAAAAATTCAATCCAGGCAATTCCCCAGCCCATAGCCCGACCTCGGATGGATTTAATTCCAAACGAATTGACTGCCGCACCCCAGAGCCCGAAAAGATTTAGCAAAATCAAAGATATATCTGCATGAGTGCACAGTTTGCCACGTTTGACTGACCTAGTGCGAGAGGAGGCTATTTGCCTTCTGCATCAGTGAGAATTTCATTTAGCGAGTGGACAGAGGTGGGAGACGCAAGCTGACCTGCCAAGTGAGGGGGGCAGGTGACGATCACGGTCCTGCACAGGAAAGTGTTGATGGTGGTACTAACCCGGGCCCACTCTGCATCCTGTTTGAACACACACAAATACAACTTTGTTTAATAAGCAAGTTGCATGTATGTGTTAGTACATCACATCCCCTTTGCTGTGGTGGAGCTGTAAGTGTGATTGAGTGACTGATTTTGGACACATTTATTGTAATATGGTATGCACAGATTGTATTTAACTTAATTAGTACACTTTTTCGAGTAGCTGACCCGATATATAAGAATCTTAATTGTCCATATTTTAAATTGCATTGGCTAAATTGTTCCACTTTAGGGCAAACAAAATCAGCATGTCTGCATACTTTTTATTAAAGGTCCCCTATTATGCTGTTTTTCATCAACATATTATAGGTCTCAGATATATACAAAACATGTCTCTGAAGTGTTTGGCTCCAAACACTAAACAGATCATTGTAGCATCCCATAATCCCCTCTGTTTCAGCCCTGTTTCTAATGTGCTGATTCTCTGTCTGTTACTATTAAAAACAACACAATGGTGTTCTAGGAGGAGATTCAGGTGATAAGCTGGGGGGGGGGGGGTTACCTTGGTTGGTAATTGGCTAATGGTTACACAACCCAAAAAATCGTTATGACAAAGTGGCCAAAATCTGATCAGCTCATTTTCAGACAGGTTTTTATATAAATGGATCAGGACAAAAAGAGAGAGAATCTTTTTTCCTGAAACTTTCAGAATCTCTTTACACAGAGGGGACACATGTTTATGTATAAAAGACATGACAAAGTGGATTTTGGACCTTTCAAACTTGAGCTTCTTATGAATTAATTCCTGACATGCCAAAATACCTTACAGCACAAATCCAGCTACTGTGTTAATTCATCATTTACTGAAAGTGAAGGAAAATGGCTTGAGCTATTTATACATTCAACATAGTTCTATAACGTTTAGTATTTGAATATGTTACATTATGCTAAGCAAAAGAGATATTGTAGTATTTTATGAAAACATAACAAAAATAGAGGTGGGTTAATGACATTGTGTTGGAAAGATGTTCTACTTTATTTCACTGGAGTTTATCATCACCAAACATAAGCCTCTGGTGGTAATTCAAACTCACAACAGAACGTCGCTGTGCAACATTCAAAGCTATTATCTTTATAGACGGCTAGATATTTTTGGATGCTGGTAATTATGAGTTTAAAATATTTTATTTCTATCTCTTTTGACTCGAATCCAGGAAAATGTATTCAGAAGACATTAGACCAGTGAAACCCTTCTGTAACCCTTCAGGAGTTCATGTCGTCCCACCACTGTAACTGTAACTGCTCTTTAAAGCAGACACTGTTTGCTAATTGTAGAGATAGCGAAGCTACTGACATTTGCTTGAGCTTTCCTCAAAGTCTCAAGGAACAAAATGTGAGTTAGCTTGTCACACAATATGTGTTAGCCCTGTGATAGACTGTCAAAGTGTGAAGGGTGTCACTGCTGTCATCCAGTGCATGTCCGGACACACTACAGCCTCCTGTTACCCTAAATATTATTGCATATAGACGTGTGCAACTAACTATGTTTAATATAAGTGATTCAACTGCAAATAATTGTATTGATGAATAGTTTTCCAAAAACATGGTGACTTCTTGTAATAGCTTATTTATCCAACTAACAGTGTAAAATATAAAGTTATTATTTGATCACTCACTCAAAAAACAAAACTAAAAGTAGATATTGTGACATTCTAAGTGTTAATCAACACACTTTTTTAGCACTAATTACATTTCAGAAAATATTTTCCTCACAATTCCCCAAAACTTAGGATGACATCTGTTCATTTACACGCAGTATTTCTTCCAATAAATGACCAGAACTAAAAAAGAATTGCTTTACTGTGATATAAACCAGTAAATGTACCACAAATAATCAATTAAGAGCCCGTAGTCAGTTAATTCTCTGCGTCTTTGCTTGATTAATGACACAAACTTAAACATCGGTTATTAAAAATGGGTTAAAGCCCTTGACTTTAGGATGCATGGAGCACTCGGTCTCTCAGCTGAGGATGAGGCGGACAGTGAGGCAGAACAGCCAGTGCCTTCACAGCAGACCGCCTGTTCCTCAGTGAGGAAGCTGTTATCTCTGCGTCGGGCCTCATCAGTCCCTGAGTGAGCTGTTACTGTACTCTACCTGCCATATGGCCGTCACAGCAGAGCCCAGCCGGACGTTCTTGAACCCGACGCGTTCTGCCAGACACTGAGAAAGCTGCTGGGTGCCTCCCTGTGGAGACACAGACACTGCAAATTAAAATCAATTGATACCTCCAATGGGCAAAATGCCTGAAGAATAATTATTTATTAAACTCATTAATTAAACCACAAACCCATGATAGGGACTAGAGAGCTATGCAGATAATCCAGTTATATATGTACACATTTTAATGCATCTTCACCTCAGACATCTGCCAACCTCCGAACTGGCTTCTAAGAGGATTTGTCAGTGACTTGTACCTTCATTAGCCTTGATTTGTTAACTGATAAGACTCCTCACATCTGATGCGGCTTCACACGGGCCCTATTATTCTTATCTTCAGGTTACTATTTTTTTTCCCTCGACTGCATGTGACATGTCTCCATGCTTGAATGTTCAAAAAGGTATTTATTATTCTCATACTGACTGTGCTCCAGCACCTATTTTCACCCTCTGTCTGAAACCAGAGCCCAGTCTGCTCTGATTAGTTAGCTGGCCAGCTTAGACTATCATTTACAATGTTTTTGGAGCGCTAGCAACTAGAGGAGGGTGTTAGTGATGTCACTATGCCACGGCAGTAAACAAAGGAGTCCAATGGGAGGGTAACTGTGAGATTTTAGCCTTTACAGACCATTTACATGCTCACAAACCTATTAAACATTACAGGAAAGGGAACCCCCCCAAAAAAAAAGCATAACAGGGCCCCTTACGTGTTTAACCTGCTTGTGTTTTTGTCCGTTTATACTGTTTTTAACCTTTTTTGGAATATTTTATGAATTGTAAATAGACCTTGGCTGTTATGAATTATCATGATTATTATTATTACATTACATGTCACTTGTTAGACGCTTTTATCCAAAGCGACTTACATACTCAATGCTGTGGGCAATCCCCGCAGGAGCAATTTGGGGTGAAGTGTCTCAGGGACACTACGACATGCTGACTGCAGTGGGGTTTGAACCTGTGCTCCCCTGATCCGAACACCAACGCTCTATCCACTGCGCCACATGCCTCATTATTATTATGATAATATTATTATTATTATTATTATTATTATTATTATTATTATTATTATTATTATTATTATAATAATATACCACATCTGTGTCATTACCATTCATGCTTCCAGTACACTGACTGCTAATATTTCCTTCAGTATATTGGCGAAATGTCCTAATAAGAACATACCTGAAGATAAAAAAAAAGTAGCAGAACCGTTCTAAAAAGCAGTTATAGATTGTTGCAATTATCTTTTCCTTCCCTTTATGGCCTGGAGCCTTTCTTACACTCCAACAGTCTGAGAGAGAAAGTTCAGAAGCAATAGCTTAAAAAAAACAAAACCAATATGGAACCATCACTTCCATGCTGAGGGAGCTCATAGAAAATAGGAAATCCAATACAAGTCCACAGCACCAAGTGTTTAAACTTTTCCAATCGATGGTGCATCTAGGACAACAAAGAAATGGTGGGACAGTGTTTGAACGAGATATATAGAGAGGCTGAAGTGATAGTCTAGAAAATAACTCCTGTCCCACAACAGCCCTCGACTCAACAACATGCACTTTGGGAAGGATAGAAGCTGCATACCTTTATCTTTAGCTCTTGTGCACAACCTGGAGTGCTCTCCAGCAGAGCCAGTAGCCCCCCCGCTGCTGCAGCAAACATGAGGAAGAAGAGGAAGGACATCTGGGACGGCTCCATGCCAAAGAGGGACCTGCTGCACAGTCCCATCTCCTCTTTTAGTTCTGACAGGAAGGAATGAATGATTCACACATGCATTAATAAAGTGTTCCGACAAAATGAGAGTGTCACCTTAGTTACTGTAACCAATGCATTGTGCCCAAACTAATGTATCCTGTCATTGACCTGTGAATGAACCAAAGACATTGCATAAAGACACCTGAAAGGATTCATTCATTTCATCAAAACAATATGTAATTACAGTCTCAATATATTATCCCAATTTGATGTCTTAAATGGATTAGGCTTAAATAATACTAATGTAAATACTGAATTACTCTAAGGTAGAGAAGAAACAATTAGTTAATCAACAGAACATTTCTATCCACAATTATTTATGTCATTCATCACATGAAACCAACTATAGTTGAAGCCTATCAAATTTGTATTGTTAGTACTTTGGTACTGTTCTGTATCATGGTAAATGTACTTTATTTTTTAATTGTATTGTCTTATTGTGAGGAATTTCTGTTCTGACACATTATTATAGTGGGTAAAATGTGTTGGTGAATCAATTTGCACTCACACTCTTATTGTCACTTTAATTGCATGGACTAACCAGCGTGGCTCGAAGAATGGCATGAGAACTTTAATCCACTCTTGAATATGTCAACAAATAATGAATGAAACTTTTAAAAGTTTCCAGGTGGTGAATGCTTGTGATCACTAAATTGAAAGTCTTTGCTACTCACCATGATTCTCCAACCTTGGAAACATTGTCACAAGAACAAAATGGAGTAAGTTTTGTTTGAAAGTACTCTTAAACCTAACCTGAAGTCCAGGCTTGTTTGTCAATGTACGATTGCAGAGTCATACTGTCCAGTTCCACAGCACCGGGAGTCATTGAAGGATCCTGCACGCACACTGTGGCAAGCAATCTGTCAAACTGAGTAAAAAGTAGAGTCAACACAACACACTCACGCACAATGCTTTACCACTGTGAAGCAAAATGATCTCATTGATCAAAACAAGAGTAGTCGGAGACTGCCAAACATGGTTCTGACAGGGCTCCGTGCCCCACATTCTCTACCTCCCACTGCTCCTCTCAGCACTGATCCTAGGCAGAACATTTTGTAGTACTTGTCATGCTATGAATATACATGTGTCCTCATACACACAGCACCCAGTATTATAAATGTTAAATACCACTACAACGTCCATTTTTAATGTCAATTGAGTTGATTCTAAAAATAAAGTGTTGTAACAATTAGCTTCAAAAGTAATATGGTATACCTGCTGATGTATATTCAATCAATCAATAGGATACGGCTTTAATAGGCCTAAGGCCTTTTAGTCGCTAATAAATAAATAAGTAGATGACTGATTCTTTATTTACTATGGATGCTGGCGACAGTCACATAGTCCAAAGTGAAGGTGATGTTTGACCAGTAATGGTCTAGGCGGGATTTGAGACAGTTAATCGTCTTGGATGTGACAACGCTTTCCGGCAGATCATTCCACAAGTCAACCACATGCAGGCTGAAAAAGTTGCGGCGGATAGCCAGTCTTGAGTACTGTTTCTTCAACTTGAGGCAGTGTCCACGAGTCCTGGTGTTATAATCCCGTTGTAGTGGGCATGATGTTTTGTAGATGTTTAGGAGATATTTGAAAACTTCGATCATATCTCCCCTCGCCCTTCTATAATATATACTCGGGATTTTAAGACTTTGCAGGCGTTCTTGATATGGTAGGTCCTTTAGTTCTGGAACCAGCTTCGTTGCCCTTCTCTGTATTTTCTCGATGAGCTCATCCTTTTTGTACATGGGGGACCAAGCGACATTCCCATACTCGAGGAGTGGCCGTACAAGAGAGATGTATAAACTACGTTATACACTATATATTATTGTATACCTATACATTTACAATACAATACAACTTATTCATTAATAATAATGCTGCAAAATGGTTATGGTGCCAAAAAAGGATAGTGACCGAACAGTCTTGTCAACATTACATTGACCGAAATTTGAATCTTTAGTTGAAATTACTTGTATAGTTGTACCGATAAATGTGCTGGTATTCCCATGTTATCCATCTGTACTTTGATCTGTCTGTATAGTTGTTGTTGTTGTTGTTGTTGTTGTTGTTGTTGTTGTTGTTGTAATAGAGACTATGTAATGTTAGTGTAATGTTTTTATAATCTCTTTTGTTTTTTAGATCAATGGATTTGTATGCATGGTCGTTTTTTAAGCTAGGGATATGTTCAGATACTCCGCTTCACATCAGGATCCTGATCTCCCTGTCGGCTTTTCTGATGGAGAACAATAATGTTTGTCTTCTATAGCTTACATTAAATAGCCTGACTTTTTTCTGCATGCTGATTTGACTGCACATAGTCCCTCTTTTCTCCTTACCAGTGGTCTGTTTGCGAGAATGTACAACCTCTGAAATGTCTAAACTGACCAATCAGAACTGAGTATTCAACAAAGCAGTGTAATAATATAAACATAGATACTTTAACCACTTATAAACTATGTTGTGGTATTGTATTGATACCTATCAGTCATTTCTTGGTTTTCAAAGGATAGCTCTCAGACGTCTGCTCACCTTCCACAGGAGCTGGGTCAGGTCCATCAGCACCAGTGGGGACAGAGCAGGGATACTGGTGCTGTAGGTGCGAACTTTGGCGCCTGGACCCCCCATGTGGTGCACCTTCTTGCCAATACTGAATTGCGGATAGGTCTCTAAGCCCAGCTCCTTTATGAGGTCCAGGATGTGTGTTTGAGTGCTGAAAGAGAGAGTAAGTAGTTATCATGCTATTTTTTTGCCATGAATTAAGAGTGTTATGTGAACATGTATCCATCTATTCTGATCGTAGAGTGTGCACAATACTGCTTGAGTGAGCCTTTGCGCAACGAAAAAAAACCTGCCAACATGTTGACATGAAGCAACTGAGAGATGCTCTTTCCCCTTCCATTAAAACGTCTTCAAAGTGCTCTTGAACAATGTTCTTCTATTTGGGTTGCCAAGAGCTGACTGCATGTTTTATCCTACCAGCGAGACGCCTCCTAGGTAAAAAGGTTTGATGGCTTGTTACTTTTAGAACATTTCTGAATCGTGACTAAAACCTCCTTCTTTTAAACAAGACTTTAGACAAGTAACCGTTCAATAAATTGTTCTATTAAAACTTATGAGAGATGTAACTGTTGTGAGAGGGACTGGTAGAGGTAGTTGCTATAAAAGTGTTTTTACATCAGTTTCTCAGGCTGGAACAGCGAGGAGACAATGTTTCATGAGATAATGAAAATAGACAGGTTCAGCTGATGTACGCAAGAACCATTAGAGAGAAGCAAGTTTGCTGTGTTAGCAAACCTTCCATGATTGACAGACTCTGTAGTGCTTAATAGCTTATAGTGGATCTCCATTACCTGTAGACAGTGGTGGGAAGAAACTTAGTACGGTACACTTAAACTTTACTTGAGTATTTCCACTTTATGATACCTTATACTTCTACTCCACTGCAATTCAGAGGCAATATCGTACTTTTATCACTATGTGTTTATCACTACTTACTTTTTACATCTAAAACACATTATATGCTCATATGAAACAATTCAGTATTTGTATACTTATCAATTGAATATGTGATAAAGTCTCTAAAATTGTCTGTACAAATAACAGGATCAAAAAGCGTGTACATAAAACAGGATGATATAACATTATTTAATAATAAAATACTTTGAATGAGCGATTCTGCATAATTGGTACATGCATTTCTGATACTTTGAATACCTTTGGCTTATATAGTACTTCAACACTTTATGTTACTGAAAGGGGCCATTGTGCAAAATTAGTAATTGTTGTTGTTCTTTGAATACATTTTGATGCTGATACTTTTGTACTTTTACTCCAAGAGTATTAGTATGAGTACTTAATCCACCGCTGCCTTTAGTCGTCATTTGTTTACCTATCATTGTGTACATCTAACAAAAACAACAATCACATTACTTACATATCCATGTCATCCATTTATGAATACTTCCAAATAGAAAAAATTATTTCCAGTAAGATGCACTGCATCAAAGCCTTGAAACTACAATGCAGACTTCCAAGCATTGAAGAATACAAATCCCCATTATATTTGTTTCACAGTTAATTGTATAAACCATGTATTCGTCACTGTGCCCTTAAATCTATCTATGACTCATTTTCAAATATTTCCAGCTTTTACATTTTTTTTCACAAGTAACCCTACTTAAGACGTTCTCATAAATGGGCAATTATTGTATACAGTGAGTGACCATCATACGTTTTTACCCATTTATCTTTGACTGGTTCCAACGCAGCCCCATTGTCCAGTGATAATGCTGTCTGCTGCACCACTTGGCCCGAGTCATTAAGTACATGTTACATCATGTATTGTAGATTAGGCCCACCCTAATGATTTCCTCAAAGTTCCTATGCACTTATTTATATGATAAAAAGGGTAACAAGTATCACATATATTTCCATTTGATTCTATCAACTCACTCCAGAATCTATGATTTTACATGTGTGCCATATTCAGTGGACCTCTGCACCATCTCAAGTGCTAACAAACCAAAGTCTTATTATTAGCAAATGTCTCTAGTCAATTAAAAAAATCCTTGTAATAGATAGTTTTACAAATAAAAGATATCCTTGAAGTGACTCTTAAAAATGACTCCTATATGTGTTATTCCAGTAGTTTTTCTTCCTTACCTTCCTACCCACTGCCCTCCAAAGTCCCAGCGATCGACTCCACTAGCTGCCGGTATTTCAGTGGACACTGTTCGACCTCCCACCCGATCTGCATGGAATACCATGATGATGATTTTGTAAGAGGCATACCTCTTTTCAACAATTTCACAGCTGAAAGAATCCAGTATAAAATGACTCGCATTTCAGGTCATCAATTTGCTTTCAATTCCACAAACCTTTTCCTTCCAGTACCAGTATTCTGAACTTGGCATTCCTTTTTCTGAGCAAATGAGCTGCACTCAGCCCAGATAGCCCGGCGCCAACAATAATAACGTCCCAAATGTCCGCAGTCATAGTCGAGCTGGAGTGCCAACCTAAACGTGTGTTAGTAAACTGTGGAGTCAGAAACAGAAATCTAACATGTATTCCCTTTTTTCTCCGTATCAATTAGGTTATCTTGCAAAGCCTGGGCTGCTCTCATAAAAAGTGCCCTTTGGAACTGTGAACAAATGGGCTTTTGACCTACTTTAGAGAATCGGCAGTGTAAACTCCAGTAATAAGAAACAGGCTTTTGTTATTTGAACAGGAAAGGCTCTGTCAGATGGGAGGTCTTGTGCGTTTTTGGCAACTCTGGCACAGGGGATGAATAAACTTCTACCAATAAGAGGGTCAGAGTTTTGATCACACCCCCTGCAGTCAGCAAGTACTGTTTTTATAAAAGCAGAGGTGAAAGAAGTACTTAGGTCTTTACAGGCCTTACTTAAATGAAAGTAATAACACCACATTGTTTAAATACTCTGTTAGTAGTATAAATATTGCATTCAAAATGTTAGGTAAGTAAAAGTAGAAAAGTATTAGCTTCAAAATTAATCAAAGACTAATGGTAATCATTATTCAGAATGGCCTTTTTGGAATACTATTTATCATAAAGCTTGATTTGAACTGATCTACTAATAATCACAATTTTAAGCGATAGCTTCAAACACTTTTTATACTGCCAGCAAAGTACACAATTTTCTTTCAATTTGAAGTGGATTAGAAGTATGAAGTAGCATCAAATGTCAATTAAATAAAAATACGTCAAAAATGTATTTACCACTGATTGTAATTCAGTTATTCTGTTAACAAGAAATATATATGTATTAGCAGAATATGGTTGTTCTATCAAATTTTCTGAATGGCTAATCTGGATCTTTTTGAACAACTTGAGCCCCGAGACAAGTCTGATGTTCCCAATCATCAGATTCCACTGTTTTGAAAAGAGAAACAAATTCTGTCACTGTATAAAATTAGGATATTTATTAATTGATAACCCAACAACAACTGGGACTTACTTAAAAAACAATCATCTCCCTTTAGTAACCCGTACACAGATTGGAGTAATTACTAGAAAATCAGCAGCAAATGATATCAAGCTGTTGCCAGAATGGCACCAGAGAGCAGAGCTGTGAAAAAAGACTCTTAGCTTTGAGAACATATTGAAAATAAAACATGGGAAGAAATCTCTGAAACATGTTTTGACTCAACAGAGAGATACAACAAAATATGAAACTAACAACCATGCAAGAGGAAATGTGAGAAAGTTTAAAGTATGAAATCACCTACTGTTATTAACTTACCTTTAATTTACTTTATTTTATTAATTTGTTTTAAAAACTATTTTACTTTATAATTAGCCTTTTCCACCTTTTGTGCTTTTTGCCATCTGTGTTTGATTGAAATGAAAAAAAAGAAATATGTAAAAAAAAGAAAACATAAAAATATGCCTATGGACATAGAATATATTAAAGGTGTGAAGTGCAAGTGGTTGTTGTTTTAAAGGAGGCCGATTATGCTAATTGTCGGGTTTCATAATTGTATTTAGTGCCTCTACTGTGACATGTCTCCATGCTTTAATGTTCAAGAAGCTCTTTATTTTCCACATACTGCCTGTGGTGCTGCAGCACCTCCTTTCACCCTCTGTCTGAAACCAGAGCCCAGTCTGCTCTGATTGGTTAGCTAGTCAGCTCTATTGTGATTAGTCAACTGCTTAGAGATGTCCCGTCTCCTAGCCTATAACGTAAAATGTGTTGAACCGCGAACCACTAGAAGCGCCAGTATGTTACATGGTGATGTCACTATGTTATGGGAGTAAACAAAGGCGTATAATGGAGGCATTTACTTGCAATTCTTGGGCATATCATTGGAAAGAAGAACTACCACCTTGGGTGTCATTCGACTGGTTTACTGTCTCTGCTATCTTCTAAAAATGGATAATAAAATAGTGTAATACATTTGCATAAAACGCAAGCCAACAAAGGTTTTGTGGAACAAGTAGTCATGTTTATTTTCTAGGACTTGTGTATTAATCCAAGAAGTGAAAGTCCCTTTAGACCTCACTTGGATTGCCTGTTTTTCTTCTGTCTTTGTTTATTTTCTAGCTCAAGAAACATTAATCCCAGGGAAGCCAAACTTGGCAAGTTATGTAAAAATACTTAGGCCAACATCTTGTGTTGCATAACGGTTACACAGACCCAAATGACTAAGTCTCTTTTTAGTAGTTCATTATACATGTTTAGGAGTATTGTTTCTTAAGCTTGCTGAAATACCCCCAAACAGTGGCAGAGCCATTTGTCTTTTGTATTGGTCCTGTAACATTATCCCCACCATCATATGGTGATGGCCTCACAATGAAGGCAAATAGGAATGTCAAAAGAGTTTCTTGCTGACGGGCAAACTCTCCAACTCTCTTATATATTATTGTAAAAAAATAAAAATAAGAAAAAAGCTTTCTCACACATAAAAGTTGTTTGTTAATAATCTGCACAAAACGGCAAATCAAGATTTTACCTAGATGATGAATCAGAATAGAAATACAATATATATAACCTGTAAATAGTCTACAAATGCAACAATCCCAAGATTTATCTCCCCCCCTGATACGCCTCAATTGGATTTATTTGTGTACTTCAGTAACATAGTGACATCACTAAGTAACACTCACAGTTCTATTGTCTAGCGCTCCGACACATTGTACGTGATTAAGGAGCAAGACATCTAGGCGGTTGACCAATCACAACAGAGCCTACCAGCAAACCAATCAGAGCAGAGCCTGCCATTGCCCTGCTGTTCATCACACTTCAACCCTAAATAGCTTCTTGTCACAGTTATTTTAGGACTATTGTGAAAATTAAATATATATTTGTGGAGTCCACTTAAGGTTTTTGGGTGTCCATTTGTATTCCCTGTCCACCCTTTTCTAAGGATTCATGTAGATTTGACTGCTGCACCACTGACTCTCAACAAAAGTATAACAGTGTAGCAAACTGCAGAAAGAAAACATTACAGATAAGGATACCTGCGGAGGGCATACACATCACACTTGTTACATAACCTATGTTTTATTATACCGGTTCTTTGTGCATTGACAGTACAGTTGAATCTAACGTTGTGTTTTTGCTGGTTGGCGCTTGGTGGTAGCATACAGTACACAATGATGTCCTGAAAAGGTACAAATGGTAATTTTTTTCACATTATGGAATTCAGTTCCAATGCTCTCAAAGCACATCATTTTCCTCCAGCGAAGTACAATGCATCCCTAGACAACATTCTGAAGTGGGTGTCACTGAGGAAATTAGCAGGATTTATATACTGTATGTATATGTTTCTGAAAACTGGATGTAAAAAATCTAATCTAAAGAAAAAAATGCCCAAAGCTTGTGAAAAAAAAAAAAAAAGGGTCACCTGAATTTTTTTAATATATTTTATTCCACAGGAGATGGAGCCTTTTATCTTTTACAACTAATCTATTTTCTGCATTTTATCTACTGAAGGACACCCCACCGTTTCTCATCTAAAAAGGCTGTTTCCCTGTAGATCTGGCACAGAGATAAGCTCTATCCCTTTTTTGTATTCCTCTTGCTTTTGTGCAGAAACCTTGCTGGCTCGTGGCTGTGGCCGCACAACCAGTTTCTCGTCACTTGAGACCTCATGTGCTCCCTTTGTCGTCGTGATTATTTGAAACCACGGACATCGGACAAATGAAAGGTTCTAAAGTGGTGTATTGTGCGTGCAACAAATAAGGAATGTACAGCCACTATGTTTTTATACAAATAAATGAAGCTGAAGGTGGATGTAGTAACGCAGTAAGACAAATATCATTGAGTGTAGAGACGATTGTGTTGCAGATGTAATGCTTTCAGTAGCAGTTCTCATCAGATGCATCATCAGAAACCCTATTTAATTGCAGGGTCCCTCCTCCAGTTTCACAATGGATTGCTCTCTATTGTTCTTCAGCTGCTATGCCTGAGCAGTGATTTCCTCGTGCTCGTTCCCATTGGTTTAACCTAACTTGATTACACTCTTATTTAACATAATTTACTAGTTGTGGCAGTTGTGAGGATTATAAAGAGCACACACTTGGGAACATTGAAGGGTTTGAGAGGCAATATCAACAGCTGGATCCCAACACCAAGGGAACCGACTTGTAAACAGGTGAAACAGGTGGAGCCGCCGTCCAATCAGGAGGTGTTATGGGAATGAGGGGGGAAGTAAACAAGGAGTTCTCTGTAAAGCGAGAGCTGCTGCTACACCCTTTGTATTCCACTGTCAGACGTTTGGATCTGCATTCAGGTGATATCTATAGAAACAATACATTAATATGCTGCTTCATATTTTAAGATTAGTATCATATGTCATATGTACAGATTTATATATGTTTGCTATAATCTTAGTCGTTTTGACCATCTTCATGATTTGATCTCATACAGCAACACTATGATTAGAAAAACCTTCACTGATATTTGCCTGTCCTGGTCGTCCGTCTACTTGTTATTCAGCGCAAGTCTCTTGAGCACAGGTAAGAACACGCACACGCACACGCACACGCACATACAGACACAATGACTCTCCTCTATTGTATATTACTTTGCCTGGCCTTGACCGAAGCCCCTTTCTTGAGAGGTTTTCAGCCTGATATAGCCTCGTCTCTGTTCAACACTGAAGAGCTGAAGGCCCTCAGTGGTGTGCTTCAACATGTGTTACCATGGCGCTCACTGACTGTCCAATCATGCTTTGAGATTATGCCTCCAGATGACACTCTAATGTTCCAGGGATTTGTTTTTTCTTCGGGGTCTGGGCTCAAATGCACCTTTTTAGTTTGAAAAGATAATGACTGCAAAGGGTTGCTTTTCAGAATCAGAATCAGAAACAGGTTTATTGCAGGTAGGTTCGCACAATAGGAATTTGACTTGATGTCATGGTGCATACATAAAATATAAAAAACAAGAAATCTAATATAAAACAAAAAATCAGTTCAATATCATCAGAGTGTTCCATGATTTGAAAAATAATACAAAACGGGTAACCGTCGGAGTAAAACAGAACGCTTGAATCTCTGAACAGTGAACACTTCAGTGCTTTTCCTCCAAGACGCAATCCCCTTGAAAACATCAAAACAAGTCCATTTCCAACTTTTCTAAATATGTGTGCACTTATATACAGGGGTGCACATAACTGGTACGCAGGTATGCGCGGCAACAATCTGAAATGCGTACCGTCACTTGTGTCACAAAGCGCATTTGCGTACCGACGTACTTGTGAAGCTTTTCCAGAAGGCGGTTAGATCACCGGACGACAGTCGGTCTCCGTGTGCACAGACGGGGCTGCTGTTAACGTCGGTCTGTACAACGGAATTGTGCCAAAACTACGCCAACCGGCTGCGGAGGGAGACTCCCCCCCTTCACTGGAGAACTGCACTAAAACAGCTGATCACAACGTTCACGCTCTGTGGTCACGAAGTACTCCACTAGCCCCCCCCCCCGTCGTCGACTTTCGCTGAAGTATCCGCTACAGCACCCCCCCCCCCTGTACTTAATGTTACTTCGATCCGGTTACTTAGTGTGGCAGATATTTAAGTAAGCTTTCTTAACGCTAATGTTATAATAGTCAGATTGCTCTGAAGATGGGAGGTGATATTCTATTAATGTTCACGTTCACACAGTCTGTGATTTTTGCCGGCCGTCTTTCATGCAACGGCAGCTTTTCTGTATTTCCTTTCTCCTGTAATATGACTTCATCGCTTTAAACTCCGCACACTGAGCTCTGATTGGTCAGCAGGCAGTGCTTTCACTGAGTTGAGCTCTTAGCCTGCAACCTAACCTGCTCCGGGGCAGGTTAGCCGTACAGCATAAGTTACCATGGAGATCTAGCCTGCTAAAAAGAGAACCAGCGTCGTAGGACCGGAAAGCCCGAGCTTTCCCTGAAGTCAGCCGGCTAAGCGAAAATCCAGCTTCGTAGTACAGGCCTCAGGTACTCATCTGAGTATATATTATATATTGTCTTATTGTCTTCAACAATATATTGTTGAAGACATCGAATGAAACCACTAATGGAAAATGTTCTTAATAATTATAATGTCGCTATCATAATCTGGCTAATGGCTCTTTCCTTGCGCTTTCATCTCATGAAACCACTTGAAGATGTTTTCAATCATAACAAAACATGTGGTTGAACATATGGTGAAGGACACTGTAAACTAAAAGCTGTGTAGGGCTTGTTTTGCCGGACGTAAATTGAAGTATACTATATATAAAGTGCTGCTATTGGAGCTCTTTGTTATTGCATATAATATATGTAATTTGTCCTGCTCTTATTAGTCATGTATTTCTTGTCAGCAACGATTATGTTTGTGTTTTTTAACTTATTACCAGGTCTGCTCTGCAAAACTAATTTCAATCATTATTCAAATCTAAAAGTATACATAGAAAAGTGTATGGTAAGAGTATGTTATATATATTAACGTATTTTAGATACATTTTTTATCACCTGTCTAACTTTTCTTAAGATTTGAAGTGTGCGGAGGGGATGCTGGTGACGTCCACGGGCCCGCAGACCCTTCAGAAGGCCGAGGGAGAGAGGCTGACTTTGGGCTGCCGTTACACTCCGAGCCCCTCAGACACCGGAGAGCTCGACATCGAATGGTCCGTGGTCAGTCCAGACACCACGCAGAAAGACCACATGGTGAGAGGCACGCTTTGGGAGTAACGGATCACATCAACCGTGATAACGCAATCAGGATACAAATGAAAGTAACTGTATAGTCAAACTGTTACATTAAGAACAGACGTAATCACATTATTGTTACATAAAAAAACAGGTATTACTGGAAGGATTACAATGTGTCAATAAGGTCAATATATTATAGGTAGACGTACTGCCTGGAATTTCAGTTTTGGTTTTCATTTGGGCTGCTTTCATTCTTCTTTTTTTAAATAGGTTTTTTTAATGCAGTATTAGGACACTTTTTGTAATATAGATATACGAAGGACTGGGCCCCTAGAGGTGAGGTATATTGCCTCATAAATTAAGTTATAAATGAGCAAAATCAGTGAAATCTCTATCAACTAAGATTTGTTAAAAACACGTTTTCAATCAGGTTACATTACATTACATGTCATTTTTTTGTTAGACGCTTTTATCCAAAGCGACTTACTGTACTGTAGACAATCCCCACAGGAGCAATTCTTGCTACCCCCTAATTCTAAGTCCAGCACTCTATCCACTTAGCCACAGCCGCAGCCGCCCCATACATATTATACTTTCATATTCTCATACTCAGATGAGACTACTGATTATGTTTTACAGATCATATTTTTGAGCTACGGTAACCTTCCCAACCCTGGTTACAAGATGGCTCAGCTCAACACTTCTTTGGTTCTTTTCAGTTGGATCCACCTAGATCAAGGATCCAATCGTTGTGAGCTGACTCGAGAAGTATTCGAAACTCTGTAAATGATGGTCAAAAACAATCGTGGCTCACTTGGCATATATAAAGTATTTATATGTACAGTATCAGCGTACACTATGCCATACATAGAGGCGTACAATTTATTGAGTGCAGACAATCTATATGTTTGTTGTTCATGGCAATTTCATGTGCTGTTGCTTAGACTATCAGCAGAGCCACCCACATCATTTGGGGGTAAAATCTGCAGAGGAAAACCAATTAAAGGAAAGGACCTGTGACCAAAAGTGAGTCGAGTTGAGCCAAACTATGATTGGAAACTCTTGTGACCTATCCCATAACGGAAATTACATCTTTAAAACATCTCATTTATCTGGATTTCACACTACTTTTCACATTTTTAAAATTCTATTCCCCATAATGTACATTGTTTGTTAATTAAAATCAAGTTCAGGAGGCTGGTGTGTGCATGAGCCCCTAGCACCTTTTTAATTTCGCACAAATTAGTCATTTATCCCGTTGCCTTTTTCATTAAATGAGTCATTTCTGTCAGAGACTTAAGAGCATTTTTTTCCTCTGCATTTTAGAAATCCTCTTTGTGGAACTTTGTCCACTAGGAAGCAGAGGGACTCAAAAACAACCACACAGCCTTTAAACAATCGTCACATAAAGTTATAAAGTGATATGCTAATGCTTTGGGAAACAATGGCTCATTCATCATCCGGCAGACAGGAAATAATATTATCTTCCCAATAAGAGATAGAGCAACATTAGCATTCATTTGGGGGCTGTGTTTCTGTCCTGCTGATCAATGTCACTCCACTACACACAGGGGGGGAGGGGGACACACACACAATGTTCAGCACGTTTAATCTTGTTGTGCAATCTTTCTTTTGTCTTCCACTAGCTCCTGTCCTTCACCAGCGGCACCACATACATCCATGGGGACAGCACTTTGGGGAAAGGGTTCAGATTTGCTGCTCCGGACCCCTCCATGGGGGACGCCTCCATGTCTATCTCTCCGCTGTCCCCTGCCCACAGTGCTACCTACCAGTGTAAAGTGAAGAAATCCCCTGGAGTGGACGCCAGGAAGGTGTCCCTGGTGGTCATGGGTAAGAAGGGGCATTGGGCCTGGCACACGTTACATTATTGGTTTAAAGGTCCCCTATTTTACTGTTTTTCATCAATATATTATAGGTCTCAGATATATACAAAACATGTCTCTGAAGTGTTTGGCTCCAAATACCAAACATATCATTGTAGCATCCCATAATCCCCTCTGTTTCAGCCCTGTTTCTAAAGTGCTGATTCTTTGTCTGTTACTTTAGATGAAAATAAGGAGCCCCTCCCCACGCCCCTCTGAGAGACATTTGGTT